AAATTGGCAACATTTTGAAGAGAAACGTACGCGCGTGTAACCAATACAACAACAAACAAATCGGGTAGAATTCTATACTCACCGGATTGGCAATGGGCTCTGTCGGAGTGGCAGCTACACCGGGACGAGTTCCATCGGCTGCGACCTAAATAACACATCACACAAGTATCAGTTTATATTCTCATTTCAAACAATAATCACTTCCATATTCATGACACAATATATTTTATCAGCCAATTGTAATTTATGGAACTCATGAAATCTCGAAAAATGGGAAAGCTAAATAAACCGAGTTTACTGTAATTTTAAACAAATGCTTTCTCGGTCCTGTATAAGACTGTGATGTTGGTTTGTTCGGTAATCTACCTGTTCATGACCCTGGAACTTCACATATGTGATTGTGACGTCGCCATTGATAGCAAGATAGTCGATTTTCTTCAAGGGTCTCACGCGGTGTTTATACACAATGTAATGCTGACCGTTAACAGCCACCTAATATGGACACACAATTCAATATTTGTTAGCAGTTCCTATAAGGTTACGATTATTTCACAATTCAACACGTTTTTAATCAATTCATTATTACTCTGTGAGATCCCGTGTTATGCGTAAAATCGAACCCCAAAAAACAGGACAAGCAAAAGTGACGTCAAAACATGGGATTCAACAAACGCGAAAATTCTGTTCGATGTTTCCATGCTTAATAACGTGCTGTACACACTTGATGACAGACAGTTTTGATAAAGAAGGTTAAGTTCAAAATAAAATTGTTCGATTTTTCAAGCAGACGTTCGGTCGCGGCTTTCACGCACTGCGCGAGATCTAGCAGTGCACAAAATTACTTCATCGTTTTTTGTTTTGTTTTTTGAAATCTATTCACACTATTAATTCGTCCCTTGCTCTTGAAAATATACGGATTTATATGATAACCGTTTCGATTAGGTGGACATTTTTTGTACTCAGTCAGTGTGTACTAAAAGAATAGACTGAAATATGGCCATGTCACCTCCATTTAACTGTCCTTTGTCGTTTATATCCAGTCTGGTTCGATTCGAAAAAGTTCATAATCCGCGGAGACGACAAATACCGGAATTTATGACGATAACGACATTCAGTATTTAATCAACCTTATGTTGCCGTTTAAAATCGGTTTCACTCGTTGATTTTTTATTATTATATACACATAAACTTAAATTATTACTAAATGTTATCCTGATATTGAGTTGTGTTAAGATTTATAATATGAGATATACCTATACCTTAAATTCCTGCTTGTCTGCCAGGATCATTATTTCAAAGTTTTGACCATGTGCGAATGGCTGGTGAGGCACACCTTGCTCTTCTTCGCCCCACTTCTCGTTTGTCCGCGTATTCCTAACAATCTGCCCTGCCTTCACTCGGACAGCAAAGCGAAACGCAATATCAGCAGGTGGTTTATTACTTGCGCCAATCTGAAAGTTAATACGAAACCTGGCGAGAACAATTGGGGTTGCAATAATAAATACACAGATGGGATTACAAAGAGATAATGTCTTGGTATTATATACACGGCAGTATAACAACTTGCACGCCCCTCCCCCGAGTGTGAATTAATCATCATTGCCTGCCTTCGACGAGTGTTTCGAGTGCTTTGTTTCAAAATGAATGTGCCCTCTACTGTTATTGGTCTGGGGTAATAGTAACGTGCATTGCTGTTTTAACACGTAATAAGATGACGGATATAGGAAGACGAGAACATATTTAATGATACACGCATTGTAACGCATTAATAGAAAGAAAATTACCTGTCGGCGTCTGGGGGAACACTTCCCTGTATGACCACCATTTTTCCAGGTCTCATACATCCGGGGATTTGACCCAGGAAAGGAACGCTCTGTGTAAACAAATATATATGTCAATATTATATAAAACTGCGAACGTATCATAAACGCCACTGATGTCAAACAGATTGTTTAAAGCGCGGTGGTCGTCGCGCAGCGCGTGTTCGAATTTCACGCGTTGTATACGTTGCTATCAGTCCCATGTCGAACAGGATGCGGCGCAATGACCACCGCCTTTTAAGAACGTCACTGACACTGTGTGACGTCAATTTCTTGAGATATCTGAAATATACCTTCACGAGTATTTATATATAAATGATATTTCCGATTTACATAAATGACATTTGAAAACTGTCTTAACGGTTGATAGGTTTGTTACGCTGCGTGTGTAATGTACATTATGTATGTACATATCTCTGCGTGCCTGGATTCGACGCACTGTTACAATGTTCACAAAGGCCAATATTAATTTGTCAGTATATACAAATTATCCCCACGTCACAGATGCAGTGGGGATTTAAAAATGTTGAATCATGCCAAACCAGACTGCAATCTGTTCCCAATTGAAACCATAGCAACCTAAGCCCCGAGGCTTAATTATGTACCATATTTCGCAAACTGTTGAATGAGTCA